TCTGCCTTTGCAAAGCTCAGAGTGAGAGAAAATGTGTTCCTCGGAGCAGGAAGGACTTAGTTTAGATGTAAAGAAAGCCTGTTTGCCCAGGTGTCAGAGGCTTCTTCCTCCCAGGGCCTGCACTCCAGAGTCCCTGGTTTGTCCCTACTGCCCTTTCAGACCAGAAAGCTGTCCAGTGCTGGCCTCTGCTCCCCTGCACTCGGCTGGCACCTCTCCACCAGCTCAGCATCCACTAAGTGCCCACATCCCTGGAGTGACTTGAGTGGGTGACCTTCCGGCTCAGCTCGCAGCAGCCCAGCTGGAGGGGAGGGACAGCTCCATATGGGGCTCTCAGGCACCAGGGCATCCAGAGGGTACGCTCCCTGGGACAACGTCTGATGACCAGGAGACCGGAGAACAGATCCTTTTTCAGCAAATCCTCACCACCTGGATGTGCTGGGGGCATAGGAAGCAGGCTAGGGCTCTGTCCCTGCCTGCTACATGCGACAGGGATGTAGTGATCCCAGAATGAGTCCTTGACTCAGACCTCTCCACACCCCACACATGCCTCAATGATAATAATAATCCTCAGGTGGGTACAGCTCTTCAAAGGTTGCAGAGAGCTTTCATGTACAATCCAACTGATCCTCCCACCATCTTCATAAGGCCGGTTGGGGTAGGAAGCACCCTTGTACAGAGTAGGAAACTGAGGCCGAGAGGAGAGAGCTGAGCCCATGCACTGGGTTTATGGGTAGCAGATCTGGGACCAGGGCTGAGGTATTCGGCCCCCTGCCCTTGCTCTTACCAAGTGGATAACACACTGTCAAGGCTGGATCACCCCCTGGGGATCCTGAGCTGTGGACAGGGGTGTTTAAAATATGAGCAGGGCGGGAAGGGAGTGGGGATACAGAGTGGTGTTTTCCTAAGCTGGGCTGTTTTTCTTCCTGTCACAGGCCTGCTAGTCACCGCCGCATGGGGAGAATCTGAGCAGGAGCCCTGAACCTCTGGGGGGAGGTGGGGCCGGCTGACTTCATCTCAGTTGGCTTCCAGGGAAGGATGTAGGGTGCAGGTCAGGGACCAACAGGGTGACTGCTCAGTGCAGCGCAGAGGGGTTTATGTGGTAAGCTGACTGATGTAGCACTGATAGCTCTCATCATCTTAGGTATAATATTTTTGGGGGGCCTGGGTGACTCAGTCGGTTAGGTGTCCGACTTCAGCTCAGGTCATGATTCCATGGTTCATGGGCTGGAGCCCCGTGTTGGGCTCTGTGCTGACAGCTCGGAGCCTGGAGCCTGCTTCGGATTCTGTGTCCTGTTCTCTCTGCCCCTCCCCCGTGTCCATTCTGTCTCTCTCTCTCTCTCAAAAATGAATAAGCATTAAAAAAAAAAAAAGAAGAATATTTTTTAAAGTATAACTTTGTCTAGGGCTTACTGTATAGCAGGTACCATGAAGGGCTCAGTATTTGTTACTTTAGTCCTTGAAATGACTCAGGAAGTGGACATTATTACCCTCAGGGCCGGCTTCGTGAGCGAGGAACCCAGGCAGCCCCACTGGGCCCGGGCTTGTTAATGCTCTCCTGTTGCCATCTTCAAATTCTTAGTACTTTTTTAACAAGGAGCTCTGCATTTTCATTTTGCGCCAAGCTCAGCAAATTACGTAGACAGTCCTGGTTACCCCCGCTTCTTAGAAGAGGACACAGAAGCACAGAGTGGTTGTGAAGGGACGGGTCCAAGATCACAGAACTGGGCCCCTGGGGGGGGGGGCGTCTAACCCCAACGCCCACACCGTCTGGAGTGGAGAGGCTGACCAGAGTCAGAAGTCTGTGCTCAAGTCCCACTGCTTGGGACTCTCTGTGGTCATGGGTGACTCACTCCATCCCTCCCAGCCTTGATTTTCTCATTTGTGAAATGGGATGATGATCCCCTTTGATCCTCGGGGCCATCATGAGGCTTGAGGGAGAGGATGCACACGCACACGAGTAAGCTCAGAGGATCAAAGGATCATCACTAGCTGACTCACAGCGCATTGGCGTTCCTGTTGATGCCTCCTCCAAGTCATTCTGACACCGTCTTCACGGGCCTTCCCTGTGAGTTAAGAGAAACTCCCCCTGCCCTTAGAGGCGGCCACATAAAGTCATTGAGTCCTAGCTGTTTCCCACCCCAAAGGGAAGACCCTTCCTTTACAGGTTCTCCCTCTGGCCACGGATGCCCCTGCCCTCTGCGGTGAGTGTGCAGCTCGGGGAGAGAAAAGGGGGACTTGGAATCCACATGGTCTCCTAACACAGCTGCGGTGTGGGGAGCGCTGCTCATGGTTTGTCTGCAATTAGATCCTCTCCAAAAATCTTCACTGGAAATAATCAGAGCTCCCCTGTCAGTGGAGAGAAGTCCTATAAGGTAGCACCGCTCAGAGGCCCGCTCAAAACAGATCCTGGTACCTCTGCAAAGAGGCAGAGGTGTCTGGGAGGGGCTGCCAATGGGTCTTTAGATTTGGAGAGAGATTCTAAAGAAGTCTGTGTGACCTTGAGGCTGCCCAGAAACACCCTTAGAGAACACCCCATATTTGCAGAGCAGCTCAACCTGCAGAAAGTGTGAACAAACCTTAGTCCCACAAATCCCCCAAACCTCGGAGGTGGCTATTAGCACCCCCATTTTATAGGCGGGGAAACTGAGGCTCAGCAAGCCTGACAGCACCTACAGCTAGGCCATCTGATCCTTAGCCTAGTGTTTCTATCTCAAGACCAGTGGTTCTCGACCCTGGCCACTCACTCACATCACCTAGGGAGCTTTACAAATATGTGATGCCTGAGTCCCACCCCAGAGCCCCTAGGAGTGGGGCCTGGGGAATCCATTTTGGTGGAAGTTCCTCGGGGGTTCCCAACAGTATGGTTAGAGGTGAGAACTAGGTTTCTCCGCCATTAGTTGGGGTAGAATATTTCTCCTCATTCCTCAGGGATGTCCCAAAACGGGGGCCAGGCTCTGAGCAAGGGGAGGGCCGCTAGATTTCCTTAAGTCACATCACGTTGCAGGTGGGGATTGTAGAAACAGTCCAGAAAGACAGCAATCTCTCTTCTTCTTTTTAAAGTTTATCTTGGGGGGTGGGAAATGAGTGGGGAAGGGGCAGAGAGAGACGGGGACAGAGGATCCAAAGCAGGATCTGCGCTGAGAGTGGAGAGCCCGACGCGGGGCTCGAACTCACGAACCGTGAGATCATGACCTGCGCCGAAGTCGGACACTTAACTGACTGAGCCACCCAGGCGCCCAAGCGCCTCGAGTGTCTCCATTGCCAGGTGGGAAAGAAGCCCCACGTCCCCCCTTGGGGACTGAGCCTGTGTTTTTATTTCCCCCTCCCCACTTCTCTGTTGCCTCCTGTGCCTGCCCACCCACAAACCCCTGCCCAGTTCCCATCATCCAGACAAGTAATCAGAACTCTTTGTTTTAGTTTTTCTCCTTGCAGAGATCTTTTTAGGCGCACACAAGTCAATAAAAAATCTGTCCCTTCCCTTCCTCTTCCACACCAACAGTGTGCTCTCCAGACTATGAGCGTCCCGTTGTGTTTTTTTCATGTAAGCTTTGTCTTGGACATCGTTCCGTGCCAGTTCATTCTTTCTCTGTATGCCTTCTGCACACAATTTTAAAACTCCCCTAAGAACCAAAGATTTCTCTCCCCAGTCCGAGTCAAATGCCCTGCTCTGATGAGCCCATCGCCACTTGCTTGGACCTTGTGGGCACAGGGACGCAGCTGGGAGACTGGGGCCTCACTCTGACGCCTGGTTGCTTCCCTACTGTGCGCTCCGACAGGAGGCAAGAGCCTCAGCTCCGACCACCTCTCCAGAGTTGGGAAGGCCAAAGCAGATCAGAGAGCCACAGCCTTGTCCATAAGGCTCTGCCGTGTGGGCATTTCAGGTGAATATTAGACCCATCTTTCTAGAATGGTGAGTCACAAGCTTGGCTCGGTTTAGTAATCCTCCTTGAGTGAGGTCGGTCTTCCCTCCTCTGCTGCAGGTTTATTTGCTTCCTCCTCTGAAGAGGTGAGGTAAGGTGTTGTTCTTGGAGGAAGAAGCTGAGAGTGTGTAGTAAGACCTGAAAAAGCCAGTGGACGGGGGCTGTGGTGGGCAGGGTGGGGCGGGGTCAGCGGTCCCGGAGGCGGCACAACTGGGTCTGCCTGGGGACCCACAGGTAGCCGTTGCTCAGAGGAGAGACCTGAGCCTTCAAAATCCGACCACCCAGCTTCGTCCTTGCTAATCCCCAGGAGCTCTCTGGTGAGTCATAAACCTCTCAGAGACTCAGGTTCCTTGCGTGTAAAATGGGGACAAAAAGAAGTAACCACAGACTTGTAGTGAGGATTACAGGAGATAATGGAGGTGGAATCGTTTCATAAATGGTGAAACACTGTACAGAGCGTTGAGTCCTTATTAACTTCTCTGCATTGAGTTAAGGCTTTGAAGTTGCCTCGCTTCTAGTCCCGAGCCAGTAATCAGCAGCCTTGTCACCTAGCCTCTCTGAGCCTCAGTTTCTCCTCCTGAGGAGCTCAGGAATGAGGCAGGCCTCCTGCTAGGGGAGGGACCCGTCCTGACATCATTTCATCCTTCCTGCAGGGCCTCCCACCAGCAGCAGCTGCTCACCTCCTGCCCTTCCCCTGTGGAGGGAGCCCAGTCCCGCTTCCCTGCCAGTCTCTGATCCTCCTGTGCCTCCAGAACTGACAGATCTTCTTGGCAAATCTGCCCCCCAAAGATTCCTGCTACCGCTTGTCTATTCCTGCCTTTTGTGAAGCATGGCAGCCACGGGACTCCGGGAAGAATCTTAAATCCTGAACCTCCACAGCCGCTCTGGAGGGAACTCTGCGTGGCTCATCCACAGTCCCTCTCGGCTCCGGGAGCTGCTCACATCCTAGCGATGCCCTCAGGCGCCTTCACCCCAGCTGGATGAGATCATTCCAGAGCTGGACCCAGCCTTGCCACCCACCAAGATTTCCGCAGCGCCCCCCACCACCTCCCATGTCTGGCTCCCCCAGCAGACTCTAGAATGTCCGTGCCCCAGATCCAAGTAGAAGAAATGGTAGGTGGGGAAGAAGAGCCTGGAGCCGCCCTGCCTCCCGATGACCACCTCAGGAGCCTGAAGGCCCTCACGGAGAAACTGAGGCTGGAGACCCGAAGGCCCTCCTACTTGGAATGGCAGGCCAGGCTGGAGGAGCAGACGTGGCCCTTCCCAAGGCCAGCTGCTGAGCAGGGGGAGTGTGGAGAGGAGGAGCCCTCGTCCCCCCAGAGAGAGCCCGGGCAGCATGCTCCACGTAACAGGGGTGCCAGCCGGGCTGCTGGGCCGCAGCCCGCCGGGAAGCTGGAAGGCTTTGAAAGTATCGATGAAGCGATAGCCTGGCTCAGGAAGGAACTGGTAAGTGGGTGCCCCTCCAAGAATCCCCAGAAAAGATGCCTCTCTCTCTCTCTCTCTCTCTCTGTCTCTCCTCTGTGTCTCTCTTCATCTCTCTCTGTCTCTCCCCCTATCTCTATCCCTCCCAATTGCATATCTGTCCATTTTCCTATTACCAAGGGTAGACCTCATTACTGTGCGGTTACATGAGGTAACCATGTGCCAATCAGCCCCTCCTCGCAGGTACTTATGGAGGAAGCAAGTGTGCCCTGTGACCCCCACCTTCTCCATTGCCCCCTGGAGCAGAGTCCCATACTTTCGTCCCTGGACCGCTAAGGGTGTTCCTGGAGTGTGATGCCCCTCCTCTCTGAAACCCTCCCACCCTCCATCCAGCCTGGGGCTGGTGGCTCCTGAGGGCGCTGTGCTGGAGCGCAGGGCTGCGTGCTGGGGGGCTGCTGTGAGTGGCTCAGGTTCAGCCCAAGGTGCTCTGTTCCTACTGAGCAGTGTGTGAAGAACTGCCCAGGGGGTGGCGTGGCTGATCAGGCCTGCAGTGAAAACTCTGGGCTGCCCCCATCCCCCCCCCCAGGATGAGTGGGAATCTGCCCAGAAGTCAGGATGAGGGTGGGGCTGGGGGAATGCGCATGAGCAACAGGTATGTTTGGGGCGTTCACAGCTTGACCTTTTCTCTGCCCACGGGCACAGCAGGCTCCCATCAGTGGCATCTCTGAGCAGGTGAGAAAGGGGATGGTGTTCACAGCTTTGCACCCATAGCCCAGGGGAGAATCACTGGTCCAGGCATGATGCTAATTGTCCCCATAATCTCAACTCCTCTGCCTCCTCATCACCTGTGGCCCAGGTCACACCTGTCCCGTCAGGCCACTCTGGCCACAGGTGAGCCAGCACCCAAAGGCCAACTGACTTCCAGAGCCACTCATAACTCCTGCGTCAACAGGGTAAGCGGAGGCCTGCCTGGTTTGTTCTGCAAAGTCCTGAAAAATAAATCCTCACTGGGGCCTGGAATTCCTCATGGGGTGAAGTAAATAATTGGGGTAGGGGGAGGCGAGGATCAGGGACTCAGGTGTCTGATTAATTGGAAATCTTTTTTTGGTTTTAATCTTTAATGATGAAACTCCTTCTCAAACACACCATTCCGCTGTGTCTGTCCTTAGTAACTGGAGTGTGAGCTGGCTTGTGTAGGAGGCAGGCCACCTGTGGATTCACACTGCGTCTCTGGGTGCTCCACTGCCACTGGGTACTCACGGGGGCGTGGGGGGCAGTTAACAGGTGAGGAAAGAGGGACACACAGTGGCCAAAATGGCCCATGGAAACTGCTCTTTAAATTCCTGAGGCTGAACTGCTTTAATTTGTTTTCATAAAGAGAACAAAAATATCCCCATCAATCAAGGATTCAATTACTTGGCTTTGGGTCCATTTGAGGTTTTATGGCTTCTGGGAGTGGAGGCTTTTGCTTTCTAAATAAATTTAGGATTCTTTGTGGGCCCCCCTTTGGGGCGGAGATTAGAGAAGGAATTCCCTGTGTGTAAACCAGTAGGGAGTTCTCTAGAACTTGTCCTCCTTGTCCTCTAGATAAGAGAGGTGTCTCTCAACCCCAGCTGCATATTAGAATCACCTGGGAAGGCTCAAAACATCCCAGAGCCTAGACAGGCCTCAGATCAATCAAATGAATGTCAGTGGGGCGGGACCCAGGCATCAGTAGATTTTAAAGCTCCCCGGGTGCTTCCAAACTGCAGCCTTGATCGAAAAGCATTGCTACAGATGAGCAGGCTGTGCTCCTTTTTCTTGCCCAGCCATTGCAAACCAAGTAGCATGAGTGCCCTCGCCAGCCTGTGCTGAGAGAGGGCAGGTGGGCCAGGTGAAGGACAACCACGGGTAACGTAGAGAGCAATGCTCTGTAGGCAGAGAGAGACGCGCTAATTGTCAGGACTAACTTGGCTGCCGAAGGCTGTCTTAAAGAAGTACAGGGAATATCAGCATTAAATAGTGCTTTGTATTTGTGGTATTTTCTTTTTCCTTTTTTTTTATATACAGTGTGGTAGGCGTTTTCTTTTTTTAATTTTTTTAATGTTTGTTTATTTTTGAAAGACAGAGAGAGACAGAGTATGAACAAGGGAGGGGTAGAGAAAGAGAGGGAGACATAGAATCCGAAGCAGGCTCCAGGCCCCGAGCTGTCAGCACAGAGCCCGATGTGGGGCTCGAACTCATGAACTGCGAGATCATGACCTGAGCCGAAGTCGGATGCTTAACTGACTGAGCCACCCAGGCGCCCCATTTTCTTGTATTAGTTTTTATTTAAATTCCAGCTAATTAACATGCAGTACAATAGTAGTTTCAGGTATAGAATCTAGTGATTCAACACTTCCATACAACTCCCGGTACTCATCACACACAGCAAGTGCATTACTTAACCCCCATCACCTATTTAACCCCTTCTCTCTGGTAACCATCAGTTTGTTCTCTAAGGTTAAGAGTCTGTTTCTTGGTTTGCCTTCTCTCTTCTTCTTTCCCTTTTCTTGTTTGTTTTGTTTCTTAAATTCCACACATGAGTGAGATCATATGATATTTGTCTTCCTCTGACTGACTTATTTCGCTTAGCATGATACTCTCTAGCTCCATTCACATCATTGCAAATGGCAAAATTTCATTCTTTTTGACGGCTTAGTAACATTCCATTGTCTATGTATATACCGTCTGTTCTTTATCCATTCATCAGTCAGTGGACACTTGGACTGTTTCCACAATTTGGCTATTGTGGATAGTGCTGCTATAAACATGGGGATGCATGTACCCCTTCAAACCTGTATTTTTGTATCCTTTGAGTAGATAGTACTCAATCCTAGGTTGTAAGTAGTTCTATTATTAACTCTTTGAGGAAACTCCATATTTTTTTCAAGAGTGGCCGCACAGTTTATTTGCATGGTATTTTCCACCCTCCCCACCGTTTCTCTGTGCTAATGGGGGTGGGGAACAGTAATCATAATAATAACAATTCTGAGATTTGTCACCAGATGAGTGTTTATTGTGTGTCAGACACTTCACATGCATTACTTACCTCTTTGGATTGTCACATCACTTTCCTGTTAACCCCGTGTTACAGAGGAGACGACTGAGGCTCAAAGAGAAATGTGGCAATAAACGAGAGAGTAGAAATTTGAACCGTGGCCCGACTGGTTGCATTGTCCATGCTTTTCTTAGCCACCATACTACCTAGGATCTTCCAAAGGCAATTGATTTTGCTTTGTGGTTCCTAAAAATGTGTGTTCACAAAGATGCTAGCAGTCAACAGAATGCATGGGAAGGGGAGGGTGGGGGAAGAAACGAGATTGAATGAGAGTCCGGTCCTCCTGCCATTATTACATCAGACCTGTGTGATGGCTGTTATTGTCTCCATTTTACAGATGAGTAAAGTGAGGCTTATAGAAGTCAGATGCCCTGCCTAGGATGATATGACTCGTAAGTGGCAGAGCCAGAGCGTGAACTCAGCCTTTACCACTGAGAGTAGAGGGCTATGGGGAGAGAGGCAGGAGGTGAGGCAGGAGAGGCGGCCCTCCCACAAACGGCCCCATTGGGCATGCTGAATCAGCAACGACAGGGGTGCATTTGCATTTGTGTTCCAGAAATCACTCTGGAGCACCTCTTGGAGCAGTGACTCCCAAACTAATGTACACGCAGATTGCCTGGCTCTCTTGTTAAACTGAAGATTCTGATCCTATTGGTCTGGGATGTGGGTCCATGATTTCAAATTTCCAACAAGTTCCCAGGAAATGCTACACTGTTGATCCATGGACCATACTTTGAGATCCAAGGACTGAGAGGCATGCAAGACTGAGGCCAGGGGACCAAGAAGGGACTTCAGAGGGAAGCCCCAGGGATCCTCAGGCCCGCACCCCGAGCCGTGCTGCTGCCATAACCACCTTTATAGCTTGGGGCTCAGCCAGTAAAAGGGCCTCTGAGAAGGAAGTCCCAGCATCCCACACTGAGCTGTCCGAGAACCAGATTCCATCAGATTGTATGTCTGAGGTCAAAAGCAGCTCGAATGCACACTGGCAAGCCAGCTTGAACGTGCACTTCTGCCCGCTTATCTTCGGGGATTAAATAGTAACAAAGGCCACTTGTAAAATCCTTGGACTGTTGAGCAGAGTTCAGCGTCTGAACAACAAACCCATTCTCACATTTTTAAAATTTTAGTCAAAACAGTAATCTCCATGCCATTTGTTTTCCTAATTCGTCATCTGTTAAGTCATTGAAGATGTCATTAAAAATTAACCTGTTTTCTGAACCCAGTGAAAGTGGTTTCAAATAACCTTTGTTTTATTTTAAGCCTGGAATTAAGTTTTCTCTATACCTGGGCAGGCTCTCTCTGCCAGTTTGTCAGGCTTCTATGCAAATTTGTCTTTTCTCTCGATGTGGCCAAGGTAACAGACTGAAAATCTGTAATTCAGTCAATCAGGCCGCTGATTTCCCTACATGATGCCAGACCCTCAATTTGATGGAAGTTTTGGCTCAGTAGTGGGTTTGTGCCCAGGAGAGGGCAGGCCTGAACAGCCCTATGATTACCGCAGGGCTGTCCCAGGAGCAGTTAATAAACTCAGTGAGGCTTTGTTGTCAATGTTGACTCTTCTAGAGGCAGACCGTGCTGGGTCTGGATGGACAGACTAGTCCACCCCCAGCCTCCTACGAGGCCAGCTCAAAGGCAGAGAGTGACTGCCTGAATCTTATTTTCAGGGCAAGAAAGGATCCTAAGAGCTCCTTTGGGGGTACACTCTTCCTCTCCAATTTCACCACAGGGAAAATGACAAGTCATTCTTGCCATGCTCCGGGGATCTGGGGGCAGGGCACACGTTTCCTTCAGGTTCCTGTGTTGGAGGATACAAGGAAGGTGGAGATCCTCAAACCCCATTGGTGTTACCCCTCCCAGCTAGAAAGGCCTGGCCCTTGGCTTTCCAAGTTTCCAGGGACCCTGTGGCCTTCTGACTATGGCAGGCTCTGTGTTTGCAGGAGACTGA